TGTGTCTGCTGTGGTGTGTGGTGTGTCTACTGCTGTGGTGTGTGGGTGTGTCTCTCCTGTGTGGTGTGTGGGTGTGGGTGTCTACTGCTGTGGTGTGGGTGTGTGCTGTGGTGTGTGGGTGTGTCTACTGCTGTGTGTGTGGGTGTGTCTACTGCTGTGGTGTGTGGGTGTGTCCCTGTGATGTGTGGGTGTGTGTCCTGCTGTGTGTGTGGGTGTGTGTCTGCTGTGTGTGTGTGGGTGTGTCTCCTGTGGTGTGTGGTGGGTGTGTCTACTCTGCTGTGGTGTGTGGGTGTGTCTACTGCTGTGGTGTGTGGGTGTGGTGTGTCTACTGCTGGTGTGTGGGTGAGGGTGTGTCTACTGCTGTGGTGTGTGGGTGTCTACTGCTGTGATGTGTGGGTGTGTGTCTACTGCTGTGGTGTGTGGGTGTGTCTACTGCTGTGGTGTGTGGGTGTAGGGTGTGTCTCTGCTGTGGTGTGTGGGTGTGGGGTGTGTCTACTGTGGTGTGTGGGTGTGTCTACTGCTGTGGTGTGTGGGTGTGTACTGCTGTGGTGTGTGGGTGTGTCTACTGCTGTGGTGTGTGGGTGTGTCTACTGCTGTGGTGTGTGTGTGTGTGTGTGTGTCTGTGGTGTGTGGGTGTCTGCTGTGATGTGTGGGTGTGTCTACTGCTGTGGTGTGTGGGTGTGTCTACTGCTGTGGTGTGGGTGTGTGTCTACTGTGGTGTGTGTGGGTGTGGGGTGTGCTGTGGTGTGTGGGTGTGTCTGCTGGTGTGTGGGTGTGTCTCTACTGCTGTGATGTGTGGGTGTGTGTCTGCTGTGGTGTGTGGGTGTGTCTCTGCTGTGGTGTGTGGGTGTGGGTGTGTCTGCTGTGGTGTGTGGGTGTGTCTACTGCTGTGGTGTGTGGGTGTGTCTGCTGGTGTGTGGGTGTGTCTGCTGCTGTGGTGTGTGGGTGTGTCTACTGCTGTGGTGTGTGGGTGTGTGTCTACTCCTGTGTGGTGTGTGGGTGTGTCTACTGCTGTGATGTGTGGGTGTGTCTACTGCTGTGATGTGTGGGTGTGTCTACTGCTGTGGTGTGTGGGTGTGTCTACTGCTGTGATGTGTGGGTGTGTCTACTGCTGTGGTGTGTGGGTGTGTCTACTGCTGTGATGTGTGGGTGTAGGGGTGTGTCTGCTGTGGTGTGTGTGGGTGTGTTTTACTGCTGTGGTGTGTGGGTGTAGGGTGTGTCTACTGCTGTGGTGTGTGTGGGTGTGGGGTGTCTGCTGTGTGGTGTGTGGGTGTGTCTACTGCTGTGATGTGTGGGGTGTGTCTACTGCTGTGTGGTGTGTGGGTGTGTCTACTGCTGTGATGTGTGGGTGTGTCTACTGTGGTGTGTGGTGTGTCTACTGCTGTGATGTGTGGGTGTGTCTACTGCTGTGGTGTGTGTGGGTGTGGGGTGTGTCTACTGCTGTGGTGTGTGGGTGTGTCTACTGCTGTGGTGTGTGGGTGTAGGGGTGTGTCTACTGCTGTGATGTGTGGGTGTAGGGTGTGTTCACTGCTGTGGTGTGTGGGTGTGGGTGTGTTCTGCTGTGGGTGTGGGTGTGGGGTGTGTCTACTGCTGTGTGTGGGTGTGGGTGTGTCTACTGCTGGTGGTGTGTGGGTGTGTGTCTACTGCTGTGTGTGGGTGTAGGGGTGTGTCTACTGCTGTGGTGTGTGGGTGTGTCTACTGCTGTGATGTGTGGGTGTGTCTACTGCTGTGATGTGTGGGTGGGGTGTGTCTACTGCTGTGGTGTGTGTGGGTGTGGGTGTGTCTACTGCTGTGGTGTGTGGGTGTGTGCTCCTGTGATGTGTGGGTGTGGGGTGTGTCTACTGCTGTGATGTGTGGGTGTGGGGTGTGTCTACTGCTGTGATGTGTGGGTGTAGGGTGTGTCTACTGCTGTGGTGTGTGGGTGTGGGGTGTGTCTACTGCTGTGGGTGTGTGGTGTGTCTACTCCTGTGATGTGTGGGTGTGGGGTGTGTCTACTGCTGTGGTGTGGGTGTGTCTGCTGGTGTGTGGGTGTGTCTACTGCTGTGATGTGTGGGTGTGGGGTGTGTCTGCTGTGGTGTGTGGGTGTGTCTACTGCTGTGGTGTGTGGGTGTGTCTACTGCTGTGATGTGTGGGTGTGGGGTGTGTCTGCTGTGATGTGTGGGGTGTGGGGTGTGTCTCTGCTGTGTGATGTGTGGGTGTAGGTGTGTCTACTGTGATGTGTGTGGGGTGTAGGGTGTGTCTACTGCTGTGGTGTGTGGGTGTGTCTACTGCTGTGATGTGTGGGTGTAGGGTGTGTCTACTGCTGTGATGTGTGGGTGTGGGGTGTGTCTACTGCTGTGTGTGGGGTGTGGGTGTGTGTACTGCTGTGATGTGTGGGTGTGGGGTGTGTCTACTGCTGTGGTGTGTGGGTGTGGGTGTCTACTGCTGTGATGTGTGGGTGTGGGGTGTGTCTACTGCTGATGTGTGGGTGTATGGTGTGTCTACTGCTGTGGTGTGTGGGTGTGTCTACTGCTGTGATGTGTGGGTGTGGTGTGTCTACTGCTGTGATGTGTGGGTGTAGGGGTGTGTCTACTGCTGTGGTGTGTGGGTGTGGTGTGTCTACTGCTGTGATGTGTGGGTGTGGGGTGTGTCTACTGCTGGTGTGTGTGGGTGTAGGTGTGTCTACTGCTGTGATGTGTGGTGGGGTGTGTCTACTGCTGTGATGTGTGGGTGTGGGGTGTGTCTACTGCTGTGGTGTGTGGGTGTGTCTGCTGTGATGTGTGGGTGTGGGGTGTGTCTGCTGTGGTGTGTGGGTGTGGGTGTGTCTACTGCTGTGATGTGTGGGTGTGGGGTGTGTGTCTGCTGTGGTGTGTGGGTGTGGGGTGTGTCCTGCTGTGATGTGTGGGTGTGGGTGTGTCTACTGCTGTGGTGTGTGGGTGTGGTGTGTCTGCTGCTGATGTGGGGTGGGGTGTGTGTCTACTGCTGTGTGTGTGTGGGTAGGGTGTGTCTACTGCTGTGGTGTGTGGGTGTGTCTACTGCTGTGATGTGTGGGTGTGGGGTGTCTACTGCTGTGAGTGTGTGGGTGTGGGGAGTGTGTACTGCTGTGGTGTGTGGGTGTGGGTGTGTCTGCTGTGGTGTGTGTGGGTGTGGGGTGTGTCTACTGCAAGTGTGTGGGTGTGGGGTGTGTCTGCTGTGGTGTGTGTGGGTGTAGGGTGTGTCTACTGCTGTGATGTGTGGGTGTAGGGTGTGTCTACTGCTGTAGTGTGTGGGTGTGGGTGTGTCTACTGCTGTGATGTGTGGGTGTAGGTGTGTCTGCTGTGGTGTGGGTGTAGGGTGTGCCTGCTGTAGTGTGTGGGTGTGGGGTGTCTCTGCTGTGATGTGTGGGTGTGGGGTGTCTGCTGTGATGTGTGGGTGTGAGGTGTGTCTACTGCTGTGGTGTGTGGGTGTGGGGTGTGTCTACTGCTGTGGTGTGTGGGTGTGGGTGTGTCTACTGCTGTGATGTGGGGTGTAGGGTGTGTCTCTGCTGTGATGTGTGGGTGTGGGTGTCTACTGCTGTGATGTGTGGGTGTGGGGTGTGTCTACTGCTGTAGTGTGTGGGTGTAGGGGTGTGTCTCTGCAGTGTGTGGGTGTAGGGTGTGTCTACTGCTGTAGTGTGTGTACTGCTGTGATGTGTGGGTGTAGAGTGTGTGTACTGCTGTGATGTGTGGGTGTGGGTGTGTCTACTGCTGTGGTGTGTGGGTGTGGGGGTGTGTGCACTGCTGTGATGTGTGGGTGTAGGGTGTCTACTGCTTAGTGTGTGGGTGTAGGGTGTGTCTACTTGCTGGATGTGTGGGTGTAGGGTGTGTCTACTGCTGTAGTGTGTGGGTGTGGGGTGTGTCTACTGCTGTGGTGTGTGGGTGTAGGGTGTGTCTACTGCTGTAGAGTGTGTGTACTGCTGTGATGTGTGGGTGTAGAGTGTGTGTTACTGCTGTGATGTGTGGGTGTAGGGTGTGTCTACTGCTGTAGTGTGTGGGTGTAGAGGTGTGTGTACTGCTGTGATGTGTGGGTGTGGGGTGTGTCTGCTGTGGTGTGTGGGTGTGGGGTGTGTGTACTGCTGTGGTGTGTGGGTGTGGGGTGTCTGCTGTGTGGTGTGTGTGGGTGGTGTGTCTACTGCTGTGATGTGTGGGTGTGGGGTGTGTGTGCTGTGATGTGTGGGTGTGGTGTGTCTACTGCTGTAGTGTGTGGGTGTGGAGTGTGTGTACTGCTGTGGTGTGTGGGTGTGGGGTGTGTCTACTGCTGTAGTGTGTGGGTGTGGGGTGTGTCTACTGCTGTGATGTGTGGGTGTGGAGTGTGTACTGCTGTGATGTGTGTGTAGAGTGTGTGTACTGCTGTGATGTGTGGGTGTAGAGTGTGTGTACTGCTGTGATGTGTGGGTGTAGGGTGTGTGTACTGCTGTGATGTGTGGGTGTAGGGTGTGTCTACTGCTGTGATGTGTGGGTGTAGAGTGTGTCTACTGCTGTGATGTGTGGGTGTAGAGTGTGTAATGTATACCATTATAGTGCTTGTACTGCTTCTTATATTGGTGTGGGTATTTAATGTGGGAGTGTAGTGTGTGGATATTGCAGTGTTAGGGTGTGCTGTGTGGATACTTGTGTTGGGTGTGTGTACATAGTAGTATTGTGGGTGTATATTCTGTAATGGTGGTGGTGTAGTGTAACGTAATGTCTGTGTTACCTTAGATGTTTTCCTGGTTAATAACACCATAAAGATTTTTAAGTAAACATCCACCGCCTAATGTAGTGTTTTGTGTTCACATCAACGGTACAATAAGTTTCTTCATCACCAAAAATAGCCTCCCCTAGTTATCATTTATTTAGACGTTAGCCTTTGCTACTTGTGTCTTGCGTAAGAATAATAAGTATTTTCTTATTCAAATTAAATTGAAGATGCTGGGATATTTATTTTATTAATCAGAATTTTTTTGTCATTATTCTGGTAAATTTTGGTTGTGTGATGCTTATTGGTGTTATGCTTGTTGCCAGGCCGGAGAGGAGAAGGTCGATCAGCCAGAGGAAGAGGTAGCAGCGCCCGGTAGTGAGCATAGTGATCAAGCAGACTCTATCGACACCAGCGGTCAGGTGAGTAACACGACCTTGCTATCTTGCATATGTTAAACGTTTGTTGCAAGGTAGAGGTACAGGTGTAAGGGCTCTGTTGTTCAGGAGAAATTAGTAACCTTTTTTTTTCCACACTGGGTAAGAGACACGTAAGTCTCCCAACACTCGGCTGCAGATGTGTGATCAGAATACAAATAATATATGGGGTGAGGGGTGGAAGGTCTTTCTCGCGTTGTTCCATAAAATACGCTGAGGTACAGTTCCCTACACGACACAAACCGACCAGTTCTAACTAAACAACGTAAACAACTTGAGTAACTTTATCTAACCTAACCTCTACTAGGAGTATTGTATGGTTTTTACCGCCGCCATACAGTCCTGTTTGTCGTCAGCATAATACTGTTTACTCACGTACTCTGTGTGGTCTAAGTAGCACTTCATGGATACACTGGACGGAATAACAGTTCATGGGGGAATAAGCAGCCCGGCGCTCTAGTTCTCTGTTAGGAATCACTCAACCTGGAGCGACAACTCAGTTAAGGTGATAGCCATCCTCACGTCACTTCCTTGCAGCCGAATTACGTGATGGTTTTTACACCTTTATATGGATGTAATTATTAAATGTATGAAACAGCATGATTTACTGTTAACTTCACAACACTAACACGTTTACGTAATTTTTTCTGTCATCTGAAATAGCTGTTGCATTATCCTATACTTTACCTTTATATTCTCTTAAGAAATCATGTTATGTATTTTTGACAATGAATGAGTAATCTATAAGCACCGTGTTGTTGTGTGTTTACAGAGAGACATGGACGCCAGCAGTGACGAAGGTGTAGTGACGGAGGAGGTGGTGGTGCCCCGTCGCGTCAGGGCAAGGGACGCTGAACCTTGGGACGCTCACACTCCTGACACTGTCGACGGGGTAAGTACTTCACCATGCTGTACTAGACCTGCACCACCATAGATCACTGTGTTGTTTCCTCAGCTGGGTTATTTTACGGTAACATAACTAGCTGTTGTAGGATCCACCACCTAACAGCTAATATGGCCTCCAAATTACACTGATATTATTCAGAATATTTTCTCTTAATTTGGATGAAAATTTTTTTGTAGAATTTTTGATACTCTGGACGCTAGACACCAAACTTTCGTGTGTTTGTAGGTATATATTAACGGGTGATAACGTAGCTAAGTTATTATAGTTTCAGTGTAATTTTGACAACACTTTGTTCCCAAATCTTATTTCATAGTTCAAGTAAACAAGTTCAAAGCCCCAGGTGAGGAAATAATTAATTCGGGAAATCTGTGAGAACCCAGGCGCTGACCCTGGCTGTGTGTGGCGTCTCCCCTACATGTTCTTACACCCTGTTGCTCATCCCCCGGTGTGTTGGTGCTCGTGTTTCTGGACTCACTTGACCATATGGCTTAATTCGTGGTTCTTGTCTAGTTGTTTCCTTCCCCTTAAGCCAAACTTCTTCAACTTTGAATGCATTTCCAGAAGTTCTCAGACTACAACATGTGAATCCTTGTACAGGTATCGGTGATCTTATACTGTAACCAAAATGTGGATGAGGATTTGTCTTGTTTATGATTATCGTCAACTTTTTCATTAATATTGGTACCAAATCCGGCATGTTAGTTGGGAACAAGCGGTTATTTATATAATAGTATTGCAAAAGTGTGCTAAGTCATACAGAAACCTCAAATGGAAGTTAAGAATAGAAAATATGAGACTTTCATTGTGTTATAACCTATCGTACTTACTGCCTCCAAGATTGAGTTCAGTTGACTTGTATAACATAAGGACTGAACGATACAGGATGATTGATTATGAACAAAACCCAAAATAAACCCTTATAAAAAAAATCCCCTTCCTCCTCATTAGTTCCCAAGGAAACACAAGCTTAGTAATTAGTTGAGGGATGTTGGCTTAATAACCACCGCCCTCCGAAAATACCGCCAGGATCAATACTCCTGGTGCATCCTGAAGGCCGGGGCGTGTCAGGCGAGAGAGAGAAACAACTGCAACCTAGATAATTACAAGGCAGACACCACAGCCATCCCACCCCCCACGCCATCAGGTTTGTCATGCTGCTAGGCTGATACAGAGGGTCCCGTCATGGCTAATTGTTGTAGCTACCTGTGCAGTCTGTGAAGTTTATAGGTTGTGATGTGAGGTGTACTGTCCCGTCACACCTACTGTGTATTGTACTCCCTGTGTGGGAACATTTGGGACAGTGCGCCGTAACACTTCCCCCAACTACTTACCAACACCAGCCCCGCCCACTTATGGTATTACTAGGGTAAGACAACCACTTACTTCACAATGAACGGCTGTAGGTGGTTGTGTTAGTGGCAGTGTAGTGGGTTAAGAGGGACGAGGTGTCGCTTATCAGGGACGAGTGGATGGCAAACATCTCATTGTTTACAGTGTGCCTTTGTCCGGGGGGAGAAAGAGTCAAATACATTACTTTGTGTGTGTGTTACTGAAGACATACTGTATGTGCTCTCATACTGGTCATGGTACACACTGTTTACGTTTGGTAATACTCTACATTGTATTAAAAGCCACTGTATTAAAAGCGAGGATTTGTCATACACACACACACACACACAGGGCGTGACTTGAACGACTAGTGGTGTAATAGTTATAGGCTGGGATGGACGCCCGTCTTGCACCAAGTTTAACAGCCTCGCTACTGGGCTGTTGAAGTTGTCTTTATATTGTGTTTCTGGCATTTTTATTTCCAGTATTTTTAAATTTAGTTGTTATCGGTGTTTTGAGTTGTAAATTTAAAAGTATTTGGAATTGTAGATGTTTTCACGACTATATTTTCCGTGATAATACTTGAGACGATTTTTCCGCCTCACTGTGGCACAGAGGAGTTACGACTCAACAATGGTACAAGTTTCCTGCTGCCATCGGTCACTCGGCTCAATTCAACACCAGTAATTTTGTTTCCTGGAAGTGGAGCATTGCGGCCACAACCACCATGGATTTTCGTGTTGGTTAGGGAGAGGCGCTACTGTACTGTACTGTACCAGTTGGTGAACTTGACCACACGGCGGAGTCGGAGGTCTGTTCTTCACGTTTTTCTGCATCATCACAACTTATATTTTTCAACACCGTTTGTATTAATATAATGTGGTTAAGTACAGTCTTTTATCAAACATAATTATATGGTTCGGAAAATATATGGATTGTGTCAAAGTTGATATAATAGTTTAATCGTGTGTGTGTGTGTGTGTGCCACTCGTTATGATGTACTAATGTGGCAGTGGTGGGGACAACTACTCAGGGCCGCGGTGCGTCTCCACATGACGGTGACGCCGCGCTGGTGTTATCTCGCCTCACAGGGAAGGAAACCACAGGAGGGCAGTTAGAGGATCGTTACACGGCTAGTTGGGTCCTGTAACAACCAACAGGCAGCGGGGGAGTCCGTCTGCCAGACGTGATCAACATCTTCTAGTTGAATTTTTATGATTGTTGTGTACTGTAGGAAACGCGTCTCTTAGTTCACTTGTTCCGCTTCGTTATAACTACATTGATGAATTTAATTTGACAAAAAAAACTTAAAGATACTCATTATTCATCCATGAAAACTAATATCCTCGATTTTTTAGTCTATATAATATCAAGTGAAAGACATGAGCTGGGCGGTCATAGTGAGTCTCATAGACCTGTACGGCTGTGAGGATACAGTTGGGTGGACGAGGGGTGCCTCAGGCGTCCACCAGCGACCCCTGCACTTTATCGCCACATGTTTATAGATCAGTCACACACTATTACTAGTTGTAATAATAATAAACAAGCCAGTCTTTCTAGTACATTAATAGTCATCATACTATTTGTAACAGTAATAATAAATGATGAGTTGCCAGTTTGTATTTAAACCTTGCATTTATTTTGGAGGTTATGACAGCTGGTTAATATATGCGGTTACGACAGCTGGGTGTTTATCAAGTTGTTTGTGTGTGTGTATTATGGGGGGCTCTTATTACCTGTATTTCTGTGAATATAAACCACGCGAAGAGGAACAATGCACTCACCACCGTAGTTCCTGTACTTGTCGTTAACTAAGTGTGGTGTGTTGCACAAGACACCTGTAGTATATAATGGGGTGAGGTGAGTAAGATCTTAATGAGTAAATTTACCTGGATTTAATTTCGTGTGTTGCTTAGTTAATGATTTGTCTTATTATTATTATTATTATTATTTTGCGTATTATTATTTTGCTTACGATTATTATTATTATTATTATTATTATTATTATTATTATTATTATTATTATTATTATTATTATTAATGTAGGTTGGTCACTAGGCAAGGGTTTTCTTGATAAATAACTTGTTGTGGTTTTAAATATTTATAAATTACTAAACTATTAAAGCCTCATGAAATTATACAGCTACATATATAACGTACTGATGAATGATACGTGATAGGGTAGCAACAGTTAATGAATGACACATGATAGGGTAGCAACTGTTAATGAATGACACATGATGAGGTAGCAACAGTTAATGAATGACACATAATAGGGTAGCAACATTTAATGAGTGACACATGATGGGGTAGCAACTGTTACTGAATGACACATGATAGGGTAGCAACAGTTAATGAATGATACATGATAGTTTAGCAACCGTTAATGAATAACATGATAGGGTAGCAACATTTAATGTGACACATGATAGGGTAGCAACATTTAATGAATGACACATAATAGGGTAGCAACATTTAATGAATGACACATAATAGGGTAGCAACATTTAATGAGTGACACATGATAGGGTAGCAACATTTAATGAGTGACACATGATAGGGTAACAACATTTAATGAATGACACATAATAGGGTAGCAACATTTAATGAATGACACATAATAGGGTAACAACATTTAATGAGTGACACATGATAGGGTAGCAACTGTTAATGAATGACACATAATAGGGTAGCAACATTTAATGAATGACACATAATAGAGAACAGCAAATATTTAATGAGTGACACATAATAGGGTAGCAACATTTAATGAATAACACATAATAGGGTAGCAACATTTAATGAGTGACACATGATAGGGTAGCAACTGTTAATGAATGACACATAATAGGGTAGCAACATTTAATGAATGACACATAATAGGGTAGCAACATTTAATGAATGACACATAATAGAGTAGCAACATTTAATGAATGACACATAATAGGGTAGCAACATTTAATGAGTGACACATGATATAGGGTAGCAACATTTAATGAATGACACATGATAGGGTAGCAACATTTAATGAATGACACATAATAGGGTAGCAACATTTAATGAATGACACATAATAGAGTAGCAACTGTTAATGAATGACACATAATAGGGTAGCAACATTTAATGAATGACACATAATAGAGTAGCAACATTTAATGAATGACACATAATAGGGTAGCAACATTTAATGAATGACACATAATAGGGTAGCAACATTTAATGAATGACACATAATAGAGTAGCAACATTTAATGAGTGACACATGATAGGGTAGCAACATTTAATGAATGACACATAATAGGGTAGCAACATTTAATGAATGACACATAATAGAGTAGCAACTGTTAATGAATGACACATAATAGGGTAGCAACATTTAATGAATGACACATAATAGAGTAGCAACATTTAATGAATGACACATAATAGGGTAGCAACATTTAATGAGTGACACATAATAGGGTAGCAACATTTAATGAGTGACACATGATAGGTTAGCAACTGTTAATGAATGACACATAATAGGGTAGCAACATTTAATGAATGACACATAATAGAGTAGCAACATTTAATGAATGACACATAATAGGGTAGCAACATTTAATGAATGACACATAATAGAGTAGCAACATTTAATGAATGACACATAATAGGGT